TCCTGGAGGTGTGAGTTGTAGGTCTTTCTGGATGGTTCTTCTGCTAAGCGTTCCCAACAAACCCTCACTACACATTTGGATCTACTAGATCTGTCCAGCATCTCCCCCACCATCTGAGCCAACTTATTACCAGTTAATGATCAGTTGATAGCTAAGCTCCTCTCTTCACCCAAATGTCCAAAACAAATGGCCACAAATCAGATGGCACGACTACAAAGTCAATCATCAATCTACGACCTAGGGCGTCCTGGTGCCAAGTGTACTTATGGACACCCTTATGTTCGAACATGATGTTTGTGATGGACAAACTATGACTAGCACAGAAGTCCAACAACAGCACACCGCTCAGCTTCAGATCAGAGAGGTCGTTCCTTCCCAGTCATGCCTCTCCAGGTTACACTGTCATTACCCACGTGGGCATTGTAGTCCCCCAGCAGAATAAAGGGGTCCCCAGCTGGTGCACCTTCCGGCACCCCCACCAAGGACTCCAAGAAGGCCAGATACTCTGAAATGCTGTTTGGTGAATGGGCACAAACAACAGTCAGAGCCCGTTCTCCCACCCGAAGGTGAATGGAAGCTACCCTCTCATCTACCGGGGAAAACTCCAACACACAGGCACCAAGTTGCTGAGGCCCTGAATAACGACTCTCGGTCAGCGCCGAGGAGATTCTGGCATACCATCAGGCGGCTGAGGAGGGCAAAGCTGATATTTACTAACCCTATGTTCAGTGAAGGGCAGCACGGTGGCGCAACTGGTAGAGCCGCTGTCTCTCAGCAAGCAGGTCCTTGGTTCAAACCCCGGTCCAGGGGCCTTTCTGGGTGGAGTCTGCATGTTCTCTTCGTGCATGCGTGGGTTTTCTCCGGGTGCTCCGGTTTCCTCCCACAGACCAAAAACATGCATGTTAGGCTGATTGGTAACTCTAAATTGTCCCTAAGTGTGAGTGAGAGAGTGAATGGTTGTTTGTCTCGTTTGTCTCTATGTAGCTCTGTGATGGACTTGCGACCCGTCCAGGGTGTACCACGCCCCTCGCACAGTGATTGTTGGACATGGGCACCGGTGACCCCCGTGACCCAAAATGGAATAAGTGGGTAAAGATAATGGATGGATGGATGTTCAGTGAAGGTGGGGTGCTGGTGACCTTAACCAGTGATGTCACTGGGAGATGGATAGAATATTTCTCTGACCTTCTCAATTCCACAAGCCTGTCTTCCATGGAGGAAGCAGAGTTGGGGGACTTCGGGGTTGGTCTGTCCATAAACATAGCTGTGGTTGCCAAGGTAGTTAAAAAGCTCTGTGGCAGCAGGGCTCTGGGGGTGGGTGAGATTTACCCTGATTTCCTAAAGGCTCTGGATGTTGTGAGGCTGTCTTGGTTGACATGCCTTTGCAACATGGCGTGGACATCGGGGGCAGTGCCACTGGATTGGCAGACTAGGGTGGTGGTTCCCCCCTTCAAAAAAGGAGAGCAGTGGGTGTGCTCCAATTACAGGGTCATAACTCTCCTTAGCCTCCCTGGTAAGATCTATTCGGGGTACTGGAGAAGCGAGTCCGATTGTTGGTCGAACCTCAGATCCAGGAGGAACAATGCGGGTTCCGTCCTGGCCATGGAACACTGGACCAGCTCTTTACCCTCACTTGGGTCCTTGAGGGGTCATGGGAGTTTGCCCATCCAGTCTACATATGTTTTGTGGACTTGGAGAAGACATTCGACTGTGTTCCTCAGGGTACATTGTGGCACTGTGGGTAGTGCTCCATGAGTATGGGATTGGGGGCGCTCGTTCTTACGGGCTGTTCGGTCCCTATACAAGCTGTGTAATAGTTTGGTTCACATTACAGGTAGTAAGTCAGACTCCTTCAAGGTGGGATTTAGACTCTGCCAGGGCTGCCCACTGTCACCGATTCTGTTCATAACTTACAGACAGAATTTCTCGGTGCAGCCAGGAGGGAGTCCAGTTTGGTGGCCTCAGGATTTCATCTCTGCTCTTTGCAGATGATGTGGTCCTGTTGGTGTCATTGTGCTATGGTCTTCAGCTCTCACTGGAGTGGTTTGCAGCTGAGTGTGAAGCAGCTGGGATGAGAATCAGCACCTCCAAATCTGAAGCCATGGTCCTCAACCAGAAAAGGGTGAATTGCTTTCTTCAGGTCGAGGGTGAGATTCTACCTCAAGTGGAGGAGTTCAAGTATCTTGAGGTTTTGTTCACGAGTGAGGGAAGAATGGAGCGCGAGATTGACAGACAGATTGGTGCAGCATCTGCAGTATTACAGACTCTTTGCAGGTCTGTTGTGGTGAAGAGAGAGCTGAGCTGTAAGGCAAAGCTCTCCGTTTACCCGTCAGTCTTCGTTCCTACCCTCACCAATGGTCAAGAGCTCTGGGTAGTGACCGAATGAGATTGCGGATACACGCGGTTGAAATGAGTTTCCTCCGAAGGGTAGTTGGACTCTCCCTTAGAGATAGGGTCAGAAGTTCAGTTATCCGGGAGCGACACGGAGCAGAACTGCTGCTCCTCTACATCAAGAGGAGCCAGTTGAGGTGGTTCGTCCATCTGGTAAGGATGACCCTTGGGCGCCTCCCTAGGGTGGTGGTTCGGGCATGTCCAACTGGGAGGAGACCCCGAGGAAGACCCAGGACACGCTGGAGAGACTACGTCTATTGGTTGGCCTGGGAACACCTTGGAGTCCTCCCAGTAGAGATGGAAGAGGTGGCTGTGGAAAGAAATATGTGGGCCTCCCTGCTTCAGCTGCTGGCCCCGCGACCTGACTTCTGAACAAGCGTAAGATAATGGATGGATAGATGAAATGGGAACGCAAAATAGTAAATCCAAATACTCACACTTATAATTCTTCAATTCTAAGAAATAATCCAACACAACAGATTGAACTTGTAGAGAAAACAGTACTTGTTTAAATGTAAAATCAGAATAGATAAAAATAAGAATAAATAACATAAACAAATGCTGCACTCTTTTTCATCTCCTATATTTACATCAATACACTCAGAAATGTTAGAAACTCAATGGGCCCTCTCTCAGTAAGCATAAACAAGCTGGCACAAATTATATAAAATGTCTTCAAAATATAAACTGTTGCAGGCTTAAATCTTTGGAGAGAAGCTAGTGTGATACCTCATTTTGAATATTTATTTCCACTCAATACCTTTTACCAATGTGGCGAGCTCCGGTGATAATGAAAATGGCAGCCTCTGATCTTTGCTTCTTTACAACTCATTCGGTCCACAGATGAAGAGCAGGATCATGACAGGTGTCGTCACGATGTTATCTATAAAGCACAACATCAAAAGTCCACAATTAGTCTTATTTAGCTGTACCAGATGCTGAATTTCCCCAACTTTCATTTGGAAATTACTTGCTTAGTCCGTTGTGTTAGCTGGTTTATCTTCACAGAAGCTAAAAGTCCATTCAAAAGTTAGCAAATTGAGCTAACTTTTTACACACCACTATCCTTGAAATTTCGGTATACAGTAATCATAGTGGTCCAAAACAAACGCGTAATTAAATAATAATAATAAATTATGAGGACTCTTGAGTAAAATGTCTGAAAGATTCGGCTACACTATTTATTTTCTCAAAAATTAAACCTTTCAGTACGGTTTCCTTTCTTCCCTCGTTAGCCAGTCAAGCTACATTACTTCCTTTCACATTTCTTCACTTTGATCCATGCACGATTATCCGTGAACTTTGACGTCACTTCCTCTATCAATGGGCTTATCACAATAAAACAAGATGAACGAACCCATTATTAAACACGTCTGTTTAAACGTACATTCAAACAGTTTAAACGTTTTCAAGGGATATTTTAAAACCATTTAATCATGACGTTTTCACATATTTGAATTACCGAGATGCTGCTGAGGGCGGCTGATCACATTTTGGCACACCTGTCCCTGTTTCCTCATGCACCTGTCGTCGATGTTATTGCTCCTACGACCCCGATCATTAGACCCCGAGTCCTCTCTCTGCTCCTCTTGAGCTCCTCATCTCTTCACCTCCTGTATGCTCCTCTCCAGCTATCGCAGCATTCTCCAGCCCGGGTTGCTCCTCCCCCTGCCCTCAGGTGCTAGAGGAGTCAGGGAGCAACTTCATCCTCTCTGACAGCTGCAGCCACAGAATACTCTCCAGTATTTTTATTTTTTCAAACTCTTTCTGTCTAATATTTTGTGTTGTTTTTATTTATTTATTTATTTATTTATTTTTATGAACACTTCCCGAGCTTCTTCTCCGACATGTTGACAGCTGTCAGTCAATCATTGTGGACACGCCCCCCAACAGTAGCAATGCACATTCTGATAGGTCAGCCCAAGTGGATCACTTTTAATTTGGATCAATCCGCGGCCACGAACGTGCGTCTAAAGTTACAAGTCACGATAAAAAATATAAATAAATAAATTCATCTGATTCAAAACGATAGGCCCCTCAACACTGCAGACACCTGGGCCCATATAAGTGGGTGGTCCGGGTGGGTGGAGCTGTAGTGAGAATGTAAATCAGGATTTGAGGTGATGTAACTCCATGAGCGCTAGAAATTTCAGGTTCGGTGAGATTTGACACTTAAAAAAAAAAAAAAAAAAGTGTCACATTCATATTTTCAGACATACTTTTAAGACTTTTTCCTCTGCTAAACATTGCAAAATATTTATTGCACAAATAAACCACCAGAAAATAAGATAAATCCACGTTTGATGATTGGAAAGCTCTGTTTTAATGTGGTGATTTAAAGTGCAGAACAGCTGAAAACGAACAGAAACAGCGAGTGTCCCACTGCATGCACTTTGCAAAGTCATTACTGTAACCTTACTGTATAGAATAATCACAGCATTCTGTGCAGCAGCAGGCACACGGTGTCACTGTTCACCAGAAAAGCATAAATTACGACACACCTAGATTCAGAGAGGCTGCAGGACGTGCAGCTGTTCGGATAACATACTTTGATTTTTGTCAAATAACACAAGGTTTATTTATTTTATTTTAAATAATTTTCCCCCCTCAGAGCTTTAAAATCGGCAAGCACGCTTTGAACATCTGATATAATTCGCCATCAGTGGGAAAGATGGAGCTTTGGGCCGCTGTCTTTGTCTGGAGCGCAGTCTGGCGCTGCGCTTTGTCTGTGACTCGCTACTCCATAGCGGAGGAGATGGAGAGGGGTTCTGTTGTGGCCAATCTCGCTGCGGATTTGGGACTTGAGCTTGCAGGCTTGGCGCAACGAGAGGTAAAACTCGACATATTCACAAATAAAAAATATTTAGACTTTAACAAAAAGACCGGGGACCTGTACGTGGTGGAGAAAATCGACAGGGAGTATCTTTGTCCGGCGAAGCCAACGTGCTTCCTAAAGCTTGATTTTATTATAGAAAGCCCGCTGCGCATCTTCAACATCGAGCTCGGAATAACAGACATAAACGACAACGCGCCGCATTTCCGGAGGGACCGGGTGGAGCTGGACGTCTCCGAGTCCGCCACGCCGGGGGAGAGATTCTCTCTGCCTAACGCCGTGGATCCAGATGTTGGTGTAAACACGATTAAAACGTACAAACTCAGCGCGAGCGAGCATTTCACCATAGAAATCCAAACGGGTTCTGATGGAACTCAGTATGTGGATTTGGTACTGACCAATTCTTTGGACCGTGAGGAAAAGGCTGCTCATAATTTAATCCTGACAGCTGAGGATGGAGGCGTCCCTGTGCGCTCAGGCACTGCCAACATTATAGTCCGAGTGCAGGACACTAATGATAATCCTCCTCGGTTTGATCAGCCAGTTTACATCATTAACATGACAGAAAACACCCCGATAGGAACTTTAGTGACAAAGCTGAACGCTACAGATCTCGATGAGGGTTTGAACTCAGAGATAGTGTACTCGTTCACGCTTTACACGTCAGAAAAAACGCAAGACGTCTTTGAGCTTCACCCTAACACAGGAGAGGTGACTGTTAAAGGAACGATTGACTATGAAGAAATGAGATTTTATGAGATGCACATTGAAGCCAGGGATAAAGGTGCGCACCCCCTGCTGGGGCAATGCAAAATGGTCATTCATGTCACAGATATGAATGATAATTATCCAGAAATAACAGTGCAGTCTGTTAAAAACACCGTGGCTGAAAACATACCTGTTGGAAGTGTGATTGCTCTGGTGGGAACAGGTGACAGAGACAGTGGTGACAATGGGAAAGTGACTATATCGATACATGACAAAATGTCCTTTATTCTTAGCCAATCCTTAGACAGACCCACACATTATGAACTTATAGTGTCTGAGCTTTTAGATCGTGAAAAGGTACCGGAATATGTCATCACTCTAATAGTGACTGACGGAGGAACGCCACCTTTATCTGATAATGAAACTTTAACCGTGCATCTGCTGGATGTTAATGACAACGCTCCACAGTTCCCCCAGTCTTTTTATACTATACGTGTGATGGAGAACA